TTGAACAAATGAGTGCAAGAATATGGATACTGACTACACATATGTAACCTCGCAAATGAATGGTGTTGCAGTACCAATTTTTTTCTGTAAGCATATCCTACACGTGCAAAATTCTCGTAAAATTATGATACAATTGAGGCCATAAAACTATTAGGTAATTTGACCATTTCAACTATGAATATTCACGTAAAAGGAAAATGTACGTGTGCTGTCATCTTTTTCTATGGGATAATTGACATTCTCAAACTGACGTTCCTTTAGTCAATTAGTCATGGTCGATTCATGTCGTGATTGCATACAGTGACTGTGTTAGTGTATCGTCCCCAATACACGGGTGTTGTAAGATTGTGGGCTCTGGGCGGAGCTAGTAATGTATTCACTGTGCTGGGCGACCTACCCACACACAAACGTCCTCCCATTACAAGCACCCATGTCATCAACGTCTCAAATGAGTGATCAGAAATGCTAATCAAAACGCCATCAGTGACGTGGTTCTTCAGCGGGGAGTGGGGAGAGAGAAGTCTTTCACTAATGGGGCTCAGTTGATATGAGCTTAGTATTTAAGAATCAATATAGTGCCAGTAAATCCTTGTTTCATCTGTCAACTGAGCGCGAGAGGAGAAACCAATATCGTTAACGCTGGTTCTTGCAGTCCAGCCCATGGTATCAGTAAGTTGAGTTTTTCTCAGATTATTGCCCACGGGAGCCTTCACATATTTCAGTTATGTGCTCTACATGTACCTTTACAGGTGCTTTCTAATCGTTTTTTGTCTTTGGATGTTTTCAAAATTGTTGCCTGTTAACTTCACATCTGTAAACGTAAACCTCATGCTCTGCTAGTTATTCGTCATATGTCATTAATGTTCTCACTATTTATTTTGGTGAGTGTTGTCACGGATATTACTGACACTCGCTATATTGGCAATCATGCTAACCACTTTCAGGTAGCGATAAACGTCATGGTTATTCAGGTCCGTCATTACGTCTTCCATTTCTTGGTTATGATTCACATGTTGTTGTTAGAATAATACAAACCAAAAAGATCAAACTATTAAGTTCATTTAGTGATTAAGAAATAAAACATTTTACCATTTTAGACAATGACAAGTACAAGTACCGATGATTTCCTAAATAAGGATGTGCTATTCCACTCCTTCTTAAACCAACAGACTGGACTGGGCGCAGTCACTGACTTGTATAACCTCTAACGAGTCCTTAAATACTACACTTTCCACTTGAAGGCAATACATATCTGACACTGATATCTAAACTGAATATTTGAATTCCACAGAAAGAAAGTTTAACAGTTATTGTACAACATATAATATGTGTGCTAGTTTTCGATTTGGTTGAATATGAACGTTTTAGTCTTCACAAGATTTTAGATCCAGTTTTGAAATTCAAATTCTATCCAGTAGCTATGCTGTGATACCTTTCTGATGTGCTCCTGTATACGTCTCCAATAAGACATTAAAAAGTGAGGAAATACAAGTTCATATGATTATGAATTGTTCTCTATAGCTCGGCCACTTGTTTTTTAAACCTACATGTATACACAGATAAGTGAGTGGATGTGCGGCAATCTTCCTGTCCTATGTAAATAATAGTCTCCGCCAGGTACATGGCGTCACGATGAGTCATAATCAGTCAGATCACACATTGTCAACACCCGTTCCGAACTTTAATATGAGTTTTGACTATCGGCCTACTTTCAATTTGGAGTCAGCTGTGACAGCTATAGAGCCAACGGGTCTCCACCATTCAGCTACGAATTCTCCAGCCCAGCAACGCGATGTGCTTTCTGTTCATTCTTTTGACAGTGACAATACAGTGTCTTAAATTTAGAGCGATAATCCCCTTCCCAGCACCAACTACAATATATTATTCTGACAGAATTCACTTCCGAATAGGATGAGATTTGCAGACATGATACAGCATGGAAATACAAAACATCTGCCGCAGCTTCTGAACAAATAAGGTGTGCACAGGAAAGATGATAAGGGTATATACAGGCCATTAGCTAAGTAGCGGTTATAGGGGCGTGGCGCGGATATAGTATGGCAGTTGGAGACCTCGTTCAACTATACAAGGGGTGGGGTGATGATGGCATGGCATTTAATACCACAATCTCTTTCAGTTCCACAGAAGGAGGCACGGCAATTGTATGGCAGTACACGTGACTTTGTCGCATTTGACGTGTCTCGAATAACCACTGGTCAAAATCACCTTATAGTCATGTCTTGAGTATTTTACCTCAAATATATGTATAATATGCTGAGCCGCAAATAGCATGCGCACCTGAAGCGATTCTACATTAAGTAAATCACAGTTTTCATCAAACATTTTATTTCGTTGTAATAAATATATATCAGATGACATAAGACCATGTTTTATGATGCCTTTTTGGGTATTAACATACAATGCCTTGACTATTCTATCTACACATCACTACATGAGATGCCAGGCTGGAACTTCCAGTGGAAAAAGAAAAACACATACACTAAAACACTGCAGTGTTAGCCTAGTCATCGCATACGTGACCTGGTTCATAACTGTCGACGAAGGCCGCTGAAGCCATATTGTTAATTGTTAATTTACAATCTGTCGTTGTCAGGTGCAAAAGCACAATCAAAGGGCACAAGTCAATGATTGTGATTCATCAGTTATATTAGATCAAGAATAACAATAATAACCTAAAACCGAGCATGATGTCATGTCTTAACTCGGCACTCTACTTTATGATCATGGACATTGATGTGTTTCAGGGAGAACATTTTGTTCCAGATGACATAATTATCAAACATTCCATTTTGAATTGATCTGTACTTTCACCAGTGATTGTTTCAGATTTTACTAAAATAATCGTTTTTGACAGGAGATTGATTGTGAGCATTTCATGTTTAATCATGGTTGTTTAATGTTGCACCCACTAATATTCAAGCTGTATGGTGGCGGTCTGTAAATAATCGAATCTGGATCAGACAATCCAGTAATCAACAGCATGAGCATCGATCTTCGCAAATGGGATACAATGACATGTGTCAGCCATGTCGGCCTGACCACCCGATCCCGTTAGTCGCCTCTTACGACAAACATGGGTTACCGAAGACCTGTTCTAACCCTGATCTCCACGGGTCTCAATTAGGACCGTGGGTATTCGTAATTATCTTTTGAAATGCAGCTTCATAATGGCAAATTCACTGTATTATACTTTCAGAAAAGTGTTGACCTATCCCATAGATAACTGTTACAGTTTTAACTCACCTTATTACAAATCAATGACCAATCGATATGATAGCTGACCACCAGAGCTGCCCATGTCGTGTGATAATTAGGCACATATTTCTCCAACTTCCAGGTCACCAACAGTAAATCAACTCCCTTGTTATAGGACATCAGGAATTTCAAAATTCTAATCAGTCACGCAGATGGAAACCCTTTTGGTCCATGGAACATTTCATTTGAGTAAATCGGAGCAACCTCTCTGTCTAAGCCGCTAATGAGAGGATCACATATATGTCATCTTTCTTGAGCGTTGTGTAGTTACTCCCACGACCAACAGCAACACAAGTATGATTGGGAATCCTTCTAATTTCTCCCATTTTAAATAAAAGCGTGTCAACCCTCAGACCTTTATTCTTGTGGCGCTTGGAAAAACATGTTTGATTTAGAGGTGTCTTAACTCAAGTTAATGATTTCCACTTTCAAAGAAACTATTAATATGTGTTTACTAGATGCAGCCACTCACGTATATATATTATACGAGGGGTGTCCCAAAAGTTTCCGGCCTCCCTAACTAATATGCGATCTATATGAAAATTGTTGTGCTTATTTTTCAACAAAATCCCCCTTCACTTCACTGGGGTAACCTAGTGGTTGAAGCGTTCGCTCGTCACGCTGAAGACCCGGGTTCGATTCCCCACATGTGTACGATTTGTGAAGTCCATTTTATGGTGTCCCCGCCGTGATATTGCTAGAATATTGCTTAAAGCGGCGTAAACCTAATCTCACTCACTCACTTCAGTTCAATGCACTTGTTCCAACGTTTATCCAGAATATTTAACCCTTCTGAAAAAAAGTGTTTGTCACGTGACCCTAACGACTCCTCCACAGCAGTGATGACTTCCTCATCCGTCTCAAATCTGCGGCCCCTGGGGACTGATTTGAGTTGAGGGAAGAGGAAGGAGTCAGAAGGGGCAAGATCTGGAGAATATGCTAGGTAAGGGAGGATCTTGAAGCCACAGCCCTGCGCAGCACTCACTGTCACTGTGAACTAAAGCCAGACAAATCGACGAAATTTACCTTGAAGTTTTCTCTGATCTGATCACGTAACCTGTACAGTACATCGGCGTAATATGCACCTTTTACGATGGAGCCCTTCTTTAAGTAGTCTATCATTATTAATGTCCTCAAAGTCCCGGAAACGGAGGCCATGACTTTTCCACTGGAAGACGTTCATTTAAACTATTTGGGCGTTGGTGACGTCACGTGCTTCCACAGCATAATTCGCTGTCTCTGGGTTAAAGTGATGAATCCAGGTGACAATATGACCCATGAAAGCACGTGGATCTCTCCGGTAGTCCTCGAGACCTGACGACACATCATGACTCTCTTCAGATAACAGTCTTGGCACCCAACGGGCAGACACCTTGTTCATGTGCAAATGTTCATGGATTATACGTTCCACTGATGTTTTGCTAACGTCATGTGCAGTAGCTAAATGTCTAACAGTTACTCGCCTGTCCTGCATTACTGTGTCGAGAACAACAACAATTGGATCTTTGGTAGTCATTCACGAGGGTGACAAGACCGTGGTTCGTCTTCGGTGCTGCGCCTACCCCCTGTGTAGTCAGCACATCACTGTTTGACCGTGCTATATGAAGGAGCATTGTCACCTAAAGTTTGTGTCATGTAATTGGCGTAAATCTTTTTTAAACGGAGATACTTCATAAAACCCCTGCATTCGGTTCTCTCCATTTTGCCAGCAAATAGTAGGGACATGCTGGTTGACAGCTATATACAGCACATTATAGCACATGGATTTCATGTTGTGCATGTCAAGCACATGCTAAGACACTGTTCTAGAAACATGGCGAGTTTTGTTCACTTCTTGCTATCCATTCATTGTGAGGCCGGAAACTTTTGGAACATCCGTCGAACATATAAAACACATGTTCAGACTTCCTATGGTATTTCTCCAGAAATCTATTGACTTTGCTCTATATATGCACTTTGCTAAGGATCATTGATTGAACAGAAAACTATGATGTGGGGTCTAATTTGGTTTAAATATCTAAGCTTATTGTAAGCATGAATCCTAGGTTTCAATATGTCACTGCATCTTGTGGATCATATACCTGCTATTCACAGGTGTTGTGTACTTGCCAGTGACTCGTTCCATCATTTACAAAATGGTTGATTGGTGCCATAAAAAACATTTTTATGGTTACTCATGTATCAAGTGCATAAGGTTAGATTAAAGTGGATGTTTGCCTAAAGCGGAGTTACCATATAATTATTTATCTAGTTTAAATGGATACAATTTCAAATTATAAATCTATGTTTAAGTAAAGATGGGAATTTTGTGATCCTTAGCAAAGTGTGAGTAGTATATTTGCGACATGTTGTTTGGAGCATGAGTGCCTCTACTTTTAATGTCCCAAGCCTGGTTATTATAGCTTATATGTCCCGAAGGCGCGCTTTATGTTAAATGATTCATTAGACATTTGAATGTATTGTGTCCTGAGGAATTGTAGACATACTAACCCACTGTAATATTGAGAGCCACCATTGGACGTACTGCAATACTGAGAACCATCATTTTTTAATATTCAAGCAAACACAAAATGATTCAAATAAATATCAACTGACATGCATCTTTCAAGTACTCCTCCATTGAAAAGGATATGGAATGGTTGTAACACAGCAGTCTGACTGTGCCCAAACCAGTCCTCAAAGGAAGATTTCAAAGCAAGATCTGCATAACGTTGTCCCTGCAGCACACACTAACAGAGTTGCCGACATAGTCACATGGGGGTGAGGGTCTGGGTCTGAAAAGGGATATCTTAACTGTTCGAAACATCATACCCTTACAGCAAGTTGTGCACACTATGCTCCAAGAGCAGTGTGCCATTTTTTCAATATCCTGCTGCGTTTTGTGTGCATTGCCTGCACCATACCAGTATTTTGGTATGATCTACCACGTAAACGAATCGATATTAGTCCTCCCAGCTGTGGGGTGGGTCCGAAATATCTCCTCTTGGCTTCTCTGACAAACCAGCCTTTCATCGCCCATTATTGGCATCGTGATAATTACGTTCTTACATCCGAGTGCAGTGCACCCGTCAGTCGAGGTGGTATAGTTTTAGGGTCAAGAACCAATCGTGCTCGAACCTTAGATCAACATAAGTGTTGATGAATGATGGCAGGAATGCTACTAAATGAATCTAACTTAACCTGGCCACCATTCATCATCCTCTGTTCCCACATCACCTGGTATTTCTGGATTTGTCATCCTGGAGGGTTTCACTGACCAGAGGTCATCATCGAGGGAATATCTGTGATGTGGCTTTTGTCCATCCAGATGTCACAATCATCCTCGCCACGCTCACCATTTGATTGTGTATTTGGCTCATTGTAAACCATTTGTAGGTTAGAAACATCATGGTCCAGCTTGCTGCAACAAATATTCCTGTGCTATGTTCAGTGAAGTTCAACTTCACACTTGCCAACATGATATAAGACAAATTACCATCTCACAGACACTCTTCCACACTTACCGTAATGCAGCTGTTGATATCAGTGTTCAACAGCTTTCGTAGTATGTGCAGTAACGTTATAACAAAACTGACATCACTAACTATATATTCTTAAAAATAACAAAAAGTGATTGCCTGTGATGCAATCAAGTCTAATGGTCGGAATGGATGATAATTGGAAAGTGCTATCCCTGTGTTGTACTTATACGTAAAGTTTACATTGTTACTGCCTGAAGACAGAAAACAGTGTATAAAAAATGGTAATTACAGACATACATTGTTTCAGCTTAAATACCCTGTTGTCCAAGTGTAGTAAGACGGAAAAAGATCGATGTGTAGGGGAGGGGGTCTGTCACTCATACATATGCATGTAGTGCACTGTAGGAAAGACACTGTTGCTCTATTACACATAACTATCATGTCAGTAGTGCATCATAGCCGGGAACCTCAGTCAGTCACGGAGGTGTGTAAAAGTCGCGACAAATTAAGTGATCTGTGTGACAAACGGACAAAGGAATTGCACTGGTAGGCAAGCCTTGAGATAGCATCGCAGCTTAAAGTGTAAAATACAGATTATCGTTAAGCGTTGACGTTTAAAACCAACACCCATTGGTGGCCAAGTGAAGCAGCTGGTTGCATTATGTTGAAAAGTGCACGATAAAGTAATCGCTACATGAATGGCACGTTGATGTTTGCTCTTCACAAACATGCGCTGTTAGCATGACCACATTCACTGACGCATCGAGCTTCCTTCGAAGACCTTATTCGTGTGATCAAGAACACTACAAGTAGTGTAACAAAGCACCGCATGATCGATATGGAGGTCGCTCAGTCAGTCTGCGAGCTGTCATCAGCAACAGCAGAATACGTTGTAGGGCTGAACATGCCGTGATTGGGCAGAGAGGATGAGTGATGTTGTTGTGGGGTTGTTGCCGTTATGGGCGGAGGGGATGGGTGTTGTTGTGGGGTTGTTGCCGTGATGGGACGGAGGGGGTGGGTGGTGTTAAAGGGTTGTTGCCATGATGGGGCGGAGGGAATGGGTGTTGTTGTGGGGTTTTGCCGTGATGGGACGGAGGGGTGGGTGGTGTTAAAGGGTTGTTGCCGTGATGGGGCGGAGGGGGATGTTAAAGGTTGTTTCCGTGATGGGGCGGAGGGGTGGGTGGTGTTAAAGGTTGTTGCCGTGATGGGACAGAGGGGTGTGTTGTGTTAAAGGTTGTTGCCGTGATGGGGCAGAGGGGTGTGTTGTGTTAAAGGGTTGTTGCCGTGATGGGACAGAGGGGTGTGTTGTGTTAAAGGTTGTTGCCGTGATGGGGCGGAGGGGTGTGTTGTGTTAAAGGGTTGTTGCCGTGATGGGGCGGAGGGGGTGGTGGTGTTAAAAGGTTGTTGCCGTGATGGGGCGGAGGGGGGTGGTGGTGTTAAAGGTTGTTGCCGTGATGGGGCGGAGGGGTGTGTTGTGTTAAAGGGTTGTTGCCGTGATGGGACAGAGGGTGTGTTGTGTTAAAGGTTGTTGCCGTGATGGGGCGGAGGGTGTGTGTTGTGTTAAAGGGTTGTTGCCGTGATGGGGCGGAGGGGGTGGTGGTGTTAAAAGGTTGTTGCCGTGATGGGGCGGAGGGGGTGGGTGGTGTTAAAGGTTGTTGCCGTGATGGGGCGGAGGGTGTGTGTTGTGTTAAAGGTTGTTGCCGTGATGGGGCGGAGGGTGTGTTGTGTTAAAGGGTTGTTGCCGTGATGGGGCGGAGGGGGGGTGGTGTTAAAAGGTTGTTGCCGTGATGGGGCGGAGGGTGGGTGTGGTGTTAAAGGTTGTTGCCGTGATGGGGCGGAGGGTGTGTGTTGTGTTAAAGGTTGTTGCCGTGATGGGGCGGAGGGGTGTGTTGTGTTAAAGGTTGTTGCCGTGATGGGGCGGAGGGGTGTGTTGTGTTAAAGGGTTGTTGCCGTGATGGGACAGAGGGGGTGGGTGGTGTTAAAGGGTTGTTGCCATGATGGGGCGGAGGGAACGAGTGTTGTTGTTGGGTTGTTGGATGGTTGGTGTAGTATTGTTGTCGTAATGGGGCGGAGGGGATGGGTGGTGTTTTAGGGATACTGTATTGGGACGGACGGGGTGGGCGGTGTTGTAGGGGGGTTGTAATGGGGCGGAGGGGATGGATGTTGTAGTAGGGGGGTTGTAATGGGACGGAGGGGATGAGTGTTGTTGCAAGGTTGTTGCACATGACGCTGCAGTCGACTTAGATAAGAAATTAAATCATTGTCTTTAACATTTGTGGTCACATTGAAACATAACAAAGTAAATTATGATATGTCCCCTGTCACTGGCGCTCACACAGTCGGCCTGATTACCGGCATCCAGTTCGTAAGTTTCATATCATTCGCACGAACGGAAAATAGATTTGTGCTATATATGGTGTTCAATAAAATAGATCTTAATGTCTAATTGTGCACCCATCAATACATATTCATAAAGACATTACCCAGACTATAATGTTATTATTTAAACATAAATATTCCCGGGGGCGTTTGTGTGTGTGTTGGGAGCATGAAACCTGCCCCTGTGCTACCATGTGAACACCATCTATATTTGTCAGGGGTCGTGACACCATGTACGCAGCACAACCATCTACTAGTGCATCTACGGAATCTATAGTAAACTACCAAATTAATAGTTCGCCGACTCGTGGCACAACTGGGCAAAGAACTGTAGGCGACCGGGTAAGGGAGCACATCACCTGGGCTTTATCGATACGCTAAGGTCAACGTCATGATTCGGCAAGTCTAGCTTGGTGTAGATAGCATTTTCATAGCCTAGGCAGTCCACTGTTCACAGATAAGTAAAGGTTTCGCCTGGACAGCTCTGGTGGACGTGCAAGGGTCCACTCACGTCCACGTGAGCATTGTGCGACGTTTGTGTAACGGTATTGCGTGGCTTCACAACTCACAGGAAAACATAACTGATAATAGTAAAAGACAATATAAATGACGGGCGGTACAGGGACGTCGCCGTTTAAGTAAATGTTCTAATATCTGTGGAACGCAAGGATTTAATGCCACTTTGCAGCCAGATAAACGCTTGCTCACAAACGATACATGTTGGGATAGATACTAACTAACATCACACCGTAACGGTACTGTCAGGGACTGTTTCGTCTACACACGTCTCCCCTATACGTCTTGCGTGACACTGGCCGAGTCATACCACTGGACCAGAACCAACGGTAAAGTTAGTTGTGCCAATCTTTGGCTGACACTTGGGACAAGGCAGGTGGGGTCACACACTCGGTTACACAGATTCCTGAGTTGTGACACTCTTATAGGGCGTGTCTCTCTTTGTCCTGTTAAAAGGTACCAGTGCTTTTCGTCAATGAATTTGTTGTGACACTGACCAGGCTAATGACTAAACGTTGTGTTCTTAGTTTCAGTAACAAGAATTACACCACTTCATATGACACTGACTTAACCGGTCCGACAATCAGATCGTATTGCCACAATTCATGTTCAAGATGGTTGCATTTAGAGCTGATGGTTTCAACTTCGCTTTCTATTGCTTCCACTTGTGGGCGTAATTCCGGAGGTCGTGTTGCTAATAGCAATAGCATCTCTAAATTCCTCTAGAAATCTTTCCGGTTGTTTGTTTCAACATCATTTAAACAAATTAAGATCTGTGTAATACCCGATGGGCATCTCCCCCTGAAGAAAACAGATGTGAAGTATGATACAAGGACAATATGATAATCCCGTCACGTGATACACAGATGGATTTGTTTGGCAAATACTCATCGAAATGATTTTCATGTAGAAATATGTGAAGAAGAAACAAAGTTTCAAATCCGTGTACAGTGACTGTGTGTAGTGTACCGGTGAATGTCTCTTGATGGGTTCCGCTGGGTTGAGCAGCCGATTCTCTAGTATACAAGTCAACAGTTGATATAGCTTGGGGTAAATGACAGTGGGAGGTGTACTTTAAATCGGCGTGATTTTGAAGGAAATCTTCCTCCAACCAAATTGTGATATCACTTGGCTGTAACTCGCCAAAGGCTACCCTGAGGTACTGTGTTTGAAGTGATACGGTCGAAATTCATCATTGTGCAGCAAAGTAAATATGGAACAATTGTTTGCCTTTGATGGGACAACGTAGATACTTCAGAATAACAAGCATGGAATGTGTTAACACAAGATCATAAGAGCTGAACACTGAACACTCGGACAGAAACAAAACTTAAATCAACATGGATTAGAGAGTTTGAATATTACAAAGATTGTGCAAACATTTAAGGTCTATGTTGGTGAACTACGAGAAGATTAAGGCGGACTGTCGATACATCAAGTTCATGCACAACAAAAGTGTGTAGCATCTCAGTAGACATGGCTATTTTAGTACAGGGGAGTTAGCCAATCGTAGCTAATCGTATTATCCCTCTTACCACTTAAGAGCTTAAGTTACAGTGAGAACGGAACTCACATAATCGCTTTAAAAGGACAATAACAATGTCTAATAAGCGTGTGTCTAATTACATGTAGTTACAGAGAACGTGTCTTAACTTGGCCTTAAACCACAAGTCGCCGCAGGTGCTGCCTTACGTTATTGAATATAGAGTCCATTGGGCTTCGTGACCGTCAGATATTTGGGAGAAGGGAAAATTTAACACCATTCAGTAACTTCAGTAATCACCATCCCTTTTTCTTATTGTGAACAAACGTCTCGGTGTTGATCATCGGGGGGATGTTTAGCAGAATCTGCAGGTGGTGTCTGTTGGTTAAGTCTTACCGCTTCTTGGCAGAATTGAATTAGTCCCGGCATCGGTACATGTATCTATTCAAGTATGTTATGGTTTGATGCTGACACAAAATAATTGAAAAACGGGCCGATAGTGTGAGGCATACTTCTATCACGCCTTTACCCCTGTAATTACTTCTAACAATATGGACAGCTAGAGTTGGACAGTTATGTTTGTATTATTTCCTCTTTCTTTTACGTCTGCTTCGTCACTAGTTCCATACGAAGGTTCATCACAACGTCGGTTTTTCAAGATGTTTTACTGGTTCTTGCATAGATTAAAGTTGGGTACTTCAACACTTCCAATTGTGTTCAGTTTTTGCATACAGAGTAAGGTTTTGTCAGGCACATTCTTTTACCTGACTGCTTCTTTCTCTTAAAAGTTTGTTCACACAAGTTAGATTGACGTTCATTGTAGCGTGAAGTTAGTTTATGTTCTTGCTGTGACGAGTTACACTCTTGTCAACGTCTGTTGTCAGGATACTGATTGATTATAGTATAGTTATATTGCAATAGTCTGTACACGTGTACCTTGTAGCATAGTTATATTGTAATAGTCTGTTCACGTGTGCCTTGTTGTTTAGGTATGTTCTGTCTGTTCACGTGTGCTCTGTGGTAAAGAACTTGTTGTCTGTTCACTAGTGTCGTATTTTATAGCCACATGGCGGGGATGTCGTTGATGGATGTCTTGTGTCTTGGCATATGTCCGTATTGTAAACATTTATCTATTTATCTTTTGACACTGGAAGGACATGATTGGTCCCACTTCTATTTTATCACTGTGGCTTATGCACTTATTCCATGATTGACGCTGCACTGAATATGAAGGTTCCTTAGAACTAAGATCTTATCATACTACCTTTATACAAAACATAGTACTTGGATTCCTGGAGTACGTAACCGAATCATGGTACTGATCAGAGATGCTGTATTTAGGAAATACCCTTTCAATATCCCGATCGTCTTTACTGTAAGGGGAATATACAATACAAGCAGCATGTTTAGCACTAAACAATTTGAATCAACCCAAGATTTGAACAGGATCTGATTGACAGTTAGCTCTGATACATCTGCGTGGTTGCACTCGCCCCTACTATTACCAGTTTTATAAAGCCAGCCCACTCAATTAAAACATGCTTTCATGTGAACATTCCACTAAGACACAGTGTATTCTGACTCCGAGCCGAGCTGTCAACAAGTACCATAAGGCGAGGACGTTGACGACCCTACCACCTTCCTCTCACCGGAGAGACGCTCTGTTCACTGGATCACACAGCTGGTATACAAGGAGACAAAGGATACATACAGTCTGTCCGAACCTGCTAGACACCTTTTCGAATCCAGAGTTCTAATATTATTGGCATTTAAAACAACATGCATGAATGCATATATAATCATGAAGCAACCAGGAAGCATGTGCTGCTTGAAATGGATGAGATCAAAATTGTCCATTCTAAAAGATTTGCACGACGCACAGCACGATACGAGCCTTGCATAACAATCTTTCATGAGACATACAATGAGTCCAAATTAAATTCACACCAATGGACTTGAAGTTTCACATCAAAAGACGGTCTTCATCATAGTAATCAGGCTTTAAGCGTATGTAATCAGCCATTTAAAAGTATCACGTTTCAAAGTCGTGTCCTGAAACGTGGAATAGCCAAAACGTCATTGTACTCTTTGAAACTAAAGATCGTTGTTATCAGTTGCTTTTAGCACTTCTCTCTCTCAGTTGGTCAAAAAAAAGATGAAAAGCCTGTGGCTAAGACTATAGCGACCGCCAAACTTCCGATCATATCTTTCAACTAACGGAAAATGACAAAGATTATTTCTGAGAGCTTTAAGACAAAAACATCTTCGTTTTCGCAATGGATGTTTATATGGCATTATACTATTGCCTTTAAGATTTGCTATTAAATACCTTTTGTTGGATTCTTTATTTTTCTGTTTCAGACAAATAGCTGCCGAAACAACCGACAAAAGGTTCAAAGAAGCAAGCAAGAAAGTAAAATGGGTCTCAGTTTTATTTATTCATCTCTGATGGTCGGCGCGGCGGCATTATGCTTAGTGAACACTGTGGCGGGATACCCAATGTTGGATGCAAAGGTGTGTAATAAAGCATAAACTGCTCTCATGGCTGGGGGAGTCATCCAGACATCATATAAGTCAATCTACTTTCGACTACTGCTAACCCGGATGATCCATAAGCGAGCCAAAGCCGCCCGCGACACACAATTCCTGTCGGTCCTATTTTAATAATATGGCTAGATTGCATTTCTTGGTTGACTAGGTTATGGATGACAGTAAATGACCGATATTGAATATGGCAAGCACGGATAATGTGCACGTCTTAACCTATCCAGCGTAACACAAATATATATGAAAGTAACGGCGAGTGTCTGATTAAGTGAGGAAATCACTATACTCACTGATTGGGTCTTATGTGTGTTTCGCAAACATTGTTTGTGGGTCAATTTCTTTTACGAAGACGCTTGCTTTATAACACAAACACATGACATAATATGTTGTTCTTTACAGGACAAGGAATATTCTGCGGATTCAGACTCGGGCCTTTCTGACAAAGAATCGTCAGATCAACTTGTCGCGAAACGAATATTTGATCCCATCGAGGCTGCAAGTAACTTTGGCAGTTTCGGAAAACGATACAACCCGTACCGTGTATTGGGTTACAAAGGGCAAATGGACGCTCAGAAGGCCATAGATGGTGGCAACATCGCGGACCTTCTCAAACAGGTGTTGGCTGTGGCAAGGGTTCGCCAAGGCCAATATAAACGCGTTCCAGAGGCACAGAAGAGGCAGTTTGACCCCATAGGTTATGGCATGTTTGCCCGGTTTGGTTAGATATCATGGACTTTCTTTGAAATAGACTGTGCAGGAGATACAATGGAATGAAAAAAATGAAAAATTCATTTTGTACCACTTTCTGTAGATATCACCTTTTCCTGCCAAAGGTTTTACTGATGGCAATATGCAAAATTCAACAAAACACTGTGCATGAACTGTCAATACAAGCATCCATTCAAATGTCGATATTTGATCACATAAGGACTCCGTATATTTCATTTTGTAGTTAGGAAAATAATAATGCATAAGCACAACATTTGTTTGTACAAGTATTTCGTGTAACAAAAGGGGTTAATGTGTGATCAATTTCGCTTAGTGAAACCTTCATCTACTCAGCTGAATGCACTTATTGTAGACTTTTAACCATTCTCAAAGTTTTAAACAGTCGGAACTGATCTTCGAAAACTGTACATTCACTCATATTGTTGTGAACAATAAAGCACTATTTTAGTAAGGTTTGATGCCCTCATATTATTTTTCCAAGTCATTGAAGATACCTAAAGCAAATAGGAGCAGCAAACAGCGTCATGTAGGATTGTAGCGATTAGATAAGGTGGTTGTTTAATACGCTGAGTCATCACATCGATTACCTCTAATCCGGATATGTGTAGAAAGGTGAAGCCAAACAGAACCAACTACTGTAACAACCATAACATTGACACCGGAGAGACGAATATGAACAGAACATAATTATCAATGTTCCACGTGTATATATATCGTGGACACGGGTTGTGGTCCATTTGGTGATCATTGAGCAGAGATCGTGACTGATGACACGATGTTTTTCCCATTCTTATACAATATGCTAAATAATGGAAATTACATACATAGAAGGGAGATACCATTTGCCATTAAGCTCCGTCTGTAACATATATTGGCCATGAACCAACTCACCATAACAGTACGTTCGATAAATCAAGCACCAGCTGCACATATATTGGAGTTCTGAAGTTTGACTGTGTTGATTATAGTTCAACATAAGCCCAACTGATCGGGCCTGTACGCCCGTATGCTGGGACCCACTGGTGTAGAAAGCTTCCACCTTTGCGTTAGAAAAATCCAAAGCAGAAAATGCATCATTTTTTAAAAGTTTGTCATACAATTCTTTCTTCAATTTTGGAAAGTGGGGAAATTCGGCAGCTTCTGATCCGGCGAAAATGGGTTCAAACCTACAGTTATCAGTTAGTGGTAGAACCGTACTTAGCCGATTGAGGCAGTTCAACATCTGACTTCCAGCTGAACGTATTATTTTGCCCCTATGCCACATCTTGCTTAGTTTAACTGCACATCTGAGATGAGACTCCCGAATACGGGAAAATGATGGTCATATAGTCAACTTGCTTGTAACACTTATTTTAGGGCATGCAACTCTGTCTCCAGGTACTAGCTATGGGATTTGTCCATGTTCTTGTCATCAGGACGATAAAACATTAATCATACCATTGATCAGATATGATGTTGTCATTTTCAAGAGAATGCTTAAATTGCATGAAGCAAAGTTACTTGTTCCGTTCGTTTGTATCACCTAGCAACTTCTTTATATTTCTTTGATATGTTCATCAAAAGGGGCAACGGTAGTAACAAGTAGAGTTCCTGAAAGTAGAGTATCCAATGTTTCATTTATAGTATACCGTATGCTTTCGTGTTACTGATAAAGTATCCCAACGCGTTATCTTTGAAGAAGTTCACTTCGACCACCTTAGACATTCGTGAGACTCAGTTAACCCGTGCAACATGAATTGTTGGGCTATGGAAACGATAGATTTCTATTTGTATTTGTCTGTCATCACAGTATCGCAAATCGAAAGTGGAAGCATGCCAAAACTGACAGAAGCTCAATGCAACAACACCTTCGGTCGACTGAAGACAGGCGACTTGGTTGCGGTCGTAGTCAGGTTGTTCCACGTATCGCCAAGCACCATCACGTTAACAACCTACCCAGATCCGGGATCCAGATCAGCATCGTCGTCTTTGACGCCAATGGTGTCAAAGACACAGAGTATGGCCACAACAGCGACGGGGACTTGTTTTGTTTAGTTATGGGTCGTGTGTTTACAGTGGTTGTGGGGAACGTTATATTCAAAACTGCATTCAAGAACTGTCTCAGATTTGGTGACGATTTGGGCCGCCATCTTACCGACAGGTAGAACACGCGTGCTACACGTACAGGGCAAATTAATGGCACAACGTTGCACAGATGAAGCTTTTCGTCCAGAAGCCCTTCCCATTATGCAACAAACACATATAATGCTTCAACACAACACTTGACGCCCAAGGCAAGACTGACAACGGCGTTTCTAAGGAATCGAAAATGAAAGCACTAAGGTCTCCAGATCTAAACCTCATCGAACATATCTGGGAACCTCCACCAGTTGGCACAAGCGTTGCAGGAAGAGTGGTTGATCATTCCCCTTCACACAATTCGTAATCTGACTGATTCCATAGGGCGACTATACCAGGCAGTTCTTGACTCTGATATTGAGAACAGGGGACTCGCAAATGACTTAACTCATGATAGCTGAACAATTTACAATGATCTGTTTATTAATTATATCATACATTAATTATACATCTGTAAACTACTTTTTCGTTACGTTTTTTGCAGAGTATATAACATATAATAGGTCATTGCGCCTAAACGTTATGGTGAGCTAAGTCTAAACTTTAGATAGCCTGATAATCTGCAGCAAATATATGTCCCTCGGGAAGATAGGACTACAATTCCAAAATGTTCAATCTGCAGCAATTTAGGTTCCAGAAACATGTGTCATACAGTGTGTCATTCCACTACCCGACACCACAGTACAAGACTCTCTGCCATGCTTCAAACAGCGCACACGTGATGTAACCGGCCCATAAAACATGAACCAGAGAAGGTTTGAGAATGTTGTCATATTCCGGTGAGGTCTTATTGCAAAGGTTCTCCTTCAGTTTTCTTTGTGGGATTTCCTAGTAGGAATTTCGTGTTATTTGAGAAAACTTTAGAATAACAAATGTGTAGGCATCTCATATTACTTAAACACTTTCTGGAATACAGACCTTAGATGAGTAGGGACAAACATCAAGCACGGGAGTCAGTGATTTTTAATTTAGTCAATGAGCCAGATGAGATTTCACTACCAAATTGTGGGGCAAACAGCCACTATGGTTTTCATATAGCTTAAGGTATGTAGTTTATGGAATCACGTGATGGACATCCCACATGCCCAGCTAAATGGGTATTGGGCGGCCATTTTTATAGAAAGCCGCCCTTTTCTTGAATCTGACCATTTGTGTAAAAAATCTATGCTTAAACTATAAGCATTAGACATATAAATGTGGGGTGAAATATGATCAGTATTCAATTTCCCATATTTTGATATGTAATCTGTGAGGGTTCGGCATGATTATTGTTTTTAAAATTGGGAAAAATGTATGACAAAATACGATTTTCCCCTAAAAATGCAGATAATTTGTTAATTTCTTGGAAAACATTGATAACAGAGAGAACTAAAATAATTTAGAAAGCCTAAGTATACATTTGGTTCCATTTGATATTTAAATCTAATTTAAAACATACTTTTTATCAGGTTCATAACGCAGGTCCCAGTCTTCACTAAATGGCGTCCTTTCAGTCAAATTTGACCATCAGCCTCTAAAAACAATGACCCAGGTCAAACTATAAGCTTGAAGTAGGTTCTGTTAGGATAAAATCTGTTCAGTATTGAATTTCACACATTTTTATATCTAATTGCAAGGATTTGTACATCATTGTATATTTTTATTTTGAAAAAATGTTACAAAAATAGACATACCAATAACTTAGACATACACAATTTATTTTTGTACATTACATTCAAACATTATGTTTAGAGAGATGAACAGAGAAACATGATTATGGTTCTGTCTTAAAGTTTAAATGTTTTTCAATGGATTGTGCTTCCTTCCAAATACCTTTCTCTAAATACCAAATCGTCACAAAATCACAACAAGTGGTTTGAGTCAATGAGATGTTTACAATGTAATAAGCCTTACACATTGATTTTATATTTCTGATTGTCACCAGTGGTTAACGACTATAATCATCATCATCATCATCATCATTATCATCATCATCACTGCAGTTATCATCATCATTATTGTTGTTGTCATCATGGTTGTCATTACAATTTGACATATCGGAGCAGTCTGCCAACTGCTGAACAGTAAATTCCCACTGGTATCCTTCTCCTAGCCATGTCCATCTGTGGAATGTGGAACGCTTGTATTCCTCTCGAGACTGTTTCTCCAAATGGCTGCTTGATAGTTTGGACGGAGGACAGCATCAACACAAGATGGCAACTGTCCTGAATCAGCATCACCTTCTCTATAATGAAACATGAGATAGCGAAGTTCTTTGACTCTATTTACTTTGGCGTTTCTACAGTACAGCTGGCATGCGAAAAGCTTGAACTTCATCAAAGTTTTCCATTGTCAGATTCCAGGTGCTTCCAAGTTCCACACATACTCTCATAAACCTTTGATACTGGAGAATCATTTTCAAAGCCTTGAGATTTCTTTATACAGACAAAGCACTTACTGGGTCACAACCGGTCCATGCATGCAATCCAACTAGAACACAACACACCTCAACCCCTAGAGCAGGAGCAAATTTGCTTACATCCACCAGTCTGATACGAGCTCTGGTTCCACGTCTGATGAAGGCTTTGCTGCTGCTGATTGTTGCCAGAATGAGAAATATGATCAAGACATCAGTATCATCCACTACACACAAAAAGTGTGGAATTGTCTTCAGCGGCATGTTTAATGTATAAAGCTAATCGAGTATCAGCTTCCTCATGGCTGCATTCAAGATCTTCAACAACTTGGTGCTCATCTTTTGTCAGATTGATGCAATGATTGCCATAGGTGACAAACAATGATTATGGTTTTATTTTAGTGAACAAAATTCCTTCTCTTGAGCAGCGAATATTGCGTTCTGTAGACCTAATTGTTTTCTCTCTGTAAATATCAAACACAACATCTGACATGTACAGTCTACACCAGCACGCAGCATGTGTGACAGAGCAGCATCCGAGATCTCATCTACAGTATGGTTGTCGCCATGAAGCTTCTGGAGGATTGCCATGGCATCAAGAAGCGCAGTTCTTTGTTTTGGAGTGGTTTCAGCTGAAGATACTTTGCTTTCAAGATGGCTTGCTAGCATGGCTTTGTTGGTCTTTTTAGTGTTTCATCACCATTCGCCATTGACCATTGCAATGGTCCTAAAGGATGACAGAGGACTTTTCTCATGTTCCATTTCGGTCTTGGGCAATTAGCCCCATATTTCCAAATTATCTCGTCTGCTTTCCACACGATGTGTTTGTCAGGAACTTTTGGTGATTTGTTCTTCATTTCAGTGAATGTTTTCAAGTTGTGTTTCTTCATTGTGTCATGAAAGCCTCCCCCCCCCCCCCTTCTCTAGTTTATCCTGGAATTTGTTGTATGTGTCTAGTCCTTTCTGGTGTGCAGTCAAAAGATCAAATGATACGTGAGATGTATCCGCAATCCCTGATGATATATATATATCAGTTCTATATGATTTCCAACAAATACTATAGAGAATGTCAACAAGTGTTTGGACGTCACATTTGTCCTCCTGTGTTCATGTTTTATCCAGGTCAGCATGGCACAGCGATTTGAAAGACACTTCATGATGACGTTGCCGCAGGGCTGTAGCTCTGTGCTCTGCTGTCAGGTAGTATCGAAACACGGTTCCTGGTTTCATGCTGAAGCCTGGAGATCCACCGGCCATTTGTGTATCTTTGTTTACCGTTTTCTCTGTGGCTTGGTCAACAGCAATTTGTCCTAAAGCATCTGTATTGCTAAACTGAACTGAAAATCCTTTGTTATGAACATGGTTGTGCAATTCTGGAGATGCTTCTTGGAGCCGAGTCATCTGTGTATTTTAAACAGGAAGGTATCTTGCATAGTTTGTCATAGTTTGTGGCAAAGCACCAAGGTATCAAGTCACGAATACAAGCGAGGTGGATGTAACAATTGTCTTCTCTATCTGCACATATGAGCCCAAGCAAGATTTCAACCAAATCTTAAATAGGTCATCAAAAAAGCTGCGAGGTGTCACCTTTCAGGGCGCAAAACAATTTGCAGATTTCCATCCGGGAACTGCTCTCAAGGCATTTCTCTTTGGGTTTCATGACTTAAACATTGATGGAGCTCACATATCTCATCAAAGAAAAGGTCAAGTTGTTGGATATTTGGCTATGTTTGCTGAAGCAATTTCACAAATACCAGCCAAATCAATCTCATCATATCTCATCATTGCTTCATAAGTAAGTTTGTGAAGACATCTTCACATCAGCTCGGTTGTAGTGCTTGCCTTCCAATACTTTCTTGATCGATCCTTCAGAAACTATTTCTGACTCTACAGCAAGGTCCAGCATCACCAAACTTCTTCCCAATAATTGACATCAAATTCCAAACTGTGTGAAAGTTGCCCATCATTAGCACAACCTTTCTGAAGCGTCCATTGTCT